GGGGGGTGGGGGGGGAGAGATTAACCAAATAATTTATATGACATATTTTTAACCAGCTTCCTACTGATACGTCTTTGGGCTTCCTGTCTATACCTGACACATAAAACTCTAAAACACTTTATATGTAGAGGTCATTTTTATGTGTGCAAGAATTTCTGTAGTATGCATTTTTAGATGAGAAATTGGTGGTCAGAGGTTTTCATGGCTGCAATTTTGATAAGTAAGCACTGCCAAATCATCCTCTATAAAAGTTATGCTTATTTAAGCTTCTACCAGCAATTTATGAGACTGCCTCTTCTGCAAAGGCTTGTCAACCAAATACATTCATGCTTTTGGAATTTGCCTGTCTGAGATGTAAAAGCACTATATTTCTGAGTAGTTTTAGTATACACTTCTCTTAATATAAATAAGATTTAAAATATTTTTATTTCTATTTATCTTTTTGGGAACTATCTCCTCACACCTCTTGCCTATTTTTCTATCATTTTTTATCAATTTATATTTAGTTTGTTGTCTATAATATATTAATTTTGGTACTATTTTTTTTTTTTTTTGCTATTATTTATTGACTTTTGATTTTCTTTTTCTGGTTTTTGTTTCTTTTTACCACTGAGATATTTTTGTGTTTTCTTTTTCTTGTTGGATTCGTGTTATAGTTTTAAAGGTCTTCCCTATTCTGAGATTATTAAAGAGCTCTCCCATTTTCTGTGTGGAATTTATTCTGGCATATGATATGAGATACAGTTATACCTTTATTTTATATTAGTCAATGGCTACCTACTTATCCCAAGTCCTAATTTTAAAATATAACTGAATGATCTTTTTTAAGTACATCAGGTGTATAGCTTTTAAATGTCTTGAGAAATACAACTAAAGTGAATGAATTGATTTGTCACAATGACTAGATCACGGTTCTCTTAGCATGTCGATTGGGATCTTCAAGTCCCAACTTCGACTAGTAAAATTCCAAGTTGGTTGCTACAGCCCCGATCCCCTTCAGCTGATGCCACCACATCACCACCGTCGTGTGGGTCAGGTCACCCGAGCAGCAGGAGGCAGGGGT